GCTGGTTAACTCTGGATCAAAGCTCGGGACATGTTCCTCTCTAGCGCCTGGGCTGGGTTACTGCTCTTCCATCGTCCTTCCATTTACCGCCGTTGGCCGTGATGGAATGGGGTAAGAGAGTGCATGTAGACACCCTGCAATTTGCGCAGCTCTCTCAAACAACCCGTAAGCACTTGATTTGGTAGGAACCGGAAATGCCCATTGCAGCTGGCCTCAGGCTCATTTCCTGTGCGGTTCCATGTGATTTGGAATCGGAGGACAGCCAGTCAGACCATGTCGCAGCCTAAATCTGACACTGGATCTGATCTAAGGACTTGCAAGAAGGACTCGAGGCCGGCATTGCGCGTGTCTGGGCCCTGAGAGCCATCTCCAGGTGCATTCAATAGAGCCACTCATGCGTTGCTGTGTGCGATGCGATAGGACAGGGGGAAGCCGCACGTTTGGTGTCTTTGCTTGCAGCGCTAGTGATAAATCTGTGCTTGGAGGCTGTGGTTCTGGAGGGCCTGGCCTGTGCTAGGTCAGAGAAGAGAAGCATCCCCGTCCTTCAAAGGTAGTGGGTACTTTGACGGCACCTTGAGAAGGTACCAGTACCCAGCACCTGCCTCGCCCAACCGCCCTGGGCGCAGCAGATTGAGCCGCCCGACAAGTACGGGTACATGTAATCAGTGGGCGCAATGGACACCGACCCGACATCCATTGACTGACGCCCAAGCCCAAGGACCTGGTCAGCAAAGCCCAGCCCAATGATTTGCGTGTTGCTGCGGAACATTGGCCTTCGTACTCGTGGACGCAGGACCTGGTTCAATTGGGGCGCACCGCTGAGGATTTTCCCTTAAATCCAATCCATCGTGGCCTTTACGAGCCAGCCCTCCTTGCCGAGTTATGTACAGTTCGCGAATCATCAGCTCCATACCAACCGGCCACAGCTATTCTTGCTCCCCCCAGGCTTGACCTGTGCTGAGGTGCTAGTCGCAAACGAGGCTTGTTGTAAGGCTCAGCTACAGGTCCACTAGCTGGAGCCCTGGAGGAGGTATAGGCATAGACCCATATTCCCTCGGGGTGGCTACCTCCCCTCTCCCCGCTCCCTACTCTCATATGCAAGTTGGGTGACCAGGGTACTTGCTAAGCAAGTTCTCACCTCTCCCCCATTTCCTGCGATCTCTTCCTCTGGCGTCTCCTTTCCTCCCCCCCTCTTCCTCTTTTCTTCCACATGAACTCTATGAATTCGCGCTTCAAAGGCCTTGGCTTTGGTTTACGCAGATCCAACAGCAGCATCAAAGGTCCTGACGGCCAAAACCAACCGTCCAACCAAACCCCGCCTTTAGGCCAAGTCCCTCACCAGCCGCCGACCCCAGGACAGTCGCCCTCTCTCGGCGCCTCCTCCTCGACGACGAGTCTCCCCATGAACCATCCTGGTATTGGGAACCACCCACCGAGCTACGCGAACAATCTCCAACACGGCCCTGTAGGCCGCAACAGTCCTCTGAATCAAGGTCCCGTCCGCACACCACCAAGCCAAATGGCTGGAGGACCCCCTCCTATCAACACCGGAGCCCCCGTTGGCTACCCACCGGGCATGCATAACCCTATGGGACATGGCCCTCCCCCGATGGGCGGCCCTCCACCAGGATTCGGTGCTCAGACTGGATATCCCCCTCCAGGCGGGCCGCCAGCTGGTGCAGTTGCACAGCAGTTCCAGCGGGGCAACCCAGCTGCTGAGGTCGAGGGTGCCAGCAAGAGCAAAGCTCAGCTGATTGTCGGAATTGATTTTGTAAGCTGCCCACGGGCGCGGACAGCGAGCCAGGCCATGCACAGGCTGACACAATAGTTTAGGGTACTACTTTCTCTGGTGTTGCTTTCGCCTTCGCCACAAATAACGAGGCCAAGGAGGACATCATTACCGAATGGCCAGGTGCTGGTTCTTACGCAAAGCAGAAGGTGAGTCGAGCCGGATCTGCCCTCAGTTGAGCTTCTCCGGGATAATGTCCAATGCTGACAATATGGTTTGCTCGCAGATTCCCACTGTTTTGTACTATGATCAATACCAGAAGGTGGTGGGCTGGGGACCTGATATTGCCGATGCCCTCGCCCCTACCGGATACCCCAAGCCTGGTGTGCAGAAGGTTGAGTGGTTCAAGCTGCAGCTTATGCTTAGCGGCAACACATATATCGATCCCATCAACCTTCCTCCCCTGCCACCCGGTAAGTCAGAGATTGACGTTGCCGCCGATTACCTCTTCAAGCTTCGCCAGGCTATGCGGGCAGCTCTTCAGAAGACACTTGGTGAGGTGTTTAACCGAGAGGAGAGAAATATTCGGTACTACTTGACGGTGCCGGCCATCTGGAATGATGCTGGAAAGGCTGCTACTCGTGCCGCTGCTATTCAAGCTGGTTTCCTCCGAGATGAGAACGACAACCGTCTTACCCTGATTTCCGAGCCCGAGGCGGCCGCCATGTTCTGCTCGAAGACCGGCCTGCTCAACCTCAAGGTGCACGATGCCGTCTTGATCGTGGATTGTGGTGGTGGTACTGTCGATTTGATCGCATATGAAGTTGAGGATGAGAACCCATTTACGGTTGCTGAGTGTACCGCTGGATCTGGTGATTCTTGCGGTTCTACTGCCCTCAACCGAAACTTCAGTAATATCCTTCGAACGAAGATCCGCAAGATGAAGCTGCCTGACGGTTCCAAGACCGCCGGCCGTGTCTACGCCAAGTGTATCATGGACTTCGAGAACAGAATCAAGGCCGATTTCCGAAACAACGGCCAGAAGTGGGCTGTTGACGTTGGTATCGAGGCAGAGTTCCCTGAGGCTGGTATCGAGGAAGGTTACATGACCTTCACCAACGAAGAAATCTTGCAATGTTTCGAGCCTGTCGTAAACCGAATTTTGGAATTGGTGCGAAACCAGATTATTGCCATCCAGGCCCAGAACCGCACGCTGCAAAACATCCTTGTTGTCGGTGGTTTCGGTGCTTCCGAGTATTTGTTCCAACAGATCAAGCTTCACGTTCCTCCCCAGTTCCAGGCTCGTGCCGTGCGACCTATGGACTCCGTCGCCGCTATCGTCAAGGGTGCCGTCACTGCCGGTATCTCAGAGAGAATCGTCACCCACCGTGTAGCTCGTCGACACTATCTCATGGCAACCCTTCAGCCCTTCAAGGAGGGTTACCACCCTGAAGCTTACCGTGTACCTTCCCTTGATGGCAAGGATCGCTGCAAGTTTACTCGCCAGATCTTCGTCCAGAAGGGCCAGAGGGTCAAGAACGGTGAGCCTGTCAAGGTATCATTCTTCAGACAGGTGGCTCCTGGTGCTACTCTCATGTACGAGGATGTTCTTTATGCATGCGATGACGATGTATGCCCTGAATATACCAAGGATCCCCGTAAGTTTACGTCTTTTACTCGTCTCCCCTATAGCATATCTAACGGCTTTGCAGGTATTAAGGAAGTCGTCACCCTCACCTCCGACCTTTCGCGTAAGAACCTGGAGAAGGATTTCGAGCGCATGGATACCCCACAAGGAACCTTCTACCGCGTCTATTTCGATATTTACCTTACTCTCGATGGATCAGAATTCAGCGCCGAGCTTGTCTGCCAAGGCGAGGTTATGGGCCGTTGCCGTGCTCGCTTCAGGTAATTCGAGGTAAAAGGGTGAAGCGACCAGATGGTATGAGGAAAATTATAAAAAAAGAAGAATATAGGCTCTGATGAGTCTCCCGAATTTTTTTTTTGCTGGAGTCGTCGGGATGATACCTATTTTGCAGAGATATGCAAACCAAAACGACCGGGCCAACCCCGTTTGGCCAAAACTGGAACAGCACGCCAGGCAGGGCCACCGCAAGCTGGGCTAGTGAAAGTTGTTAGATACCGAGAGATTCATGTCCAGGCAAGAGAAAGGGCGATCTTGGATCAGATCTTCGAGAGATAAACTATGGTTACCGTAGACTGAAGGCGATGGCTTTGGAGTCGCTCTTGATCCCGGATGCGGGAAGTGTTTCGGTATGGCGTATATGCATGAATGATATATTCTAATGATTAAATGTTGGTTTCTTGTTCCTAGACCGAAATGTGCAATTCTTGTTTGGCTCTGGGAAGAGGTTCGTTTTGGGTCTCTGGGGCGTGATACGGCGGCCAGTCATTGGACGATAGGAATGGAAATTGTGCCTGGCTGGTTGGACCTGCGAGTTCTCGGGCGTTGGAGTATTTACGTACCTGGATGCAAGAAAGCCTTATGGGGAAAGTCTCCGTGCACATCGTTGGTGATCCTGGCATGCCACGCAGACAAACGATCGAATGGAAGGCAGTTGATCGATCAGTTCCTTAACCTGAATAGGAGAGGAGTACCCCGCCCACCTGGTTAGAAATCGCTATACCCATGTACCGCCCTATCCTGCCCTGTTCGCTGAGGCCCATCCAAGCAGGATCAAACTGGGCAGCTTGCCTGTTTCTTCTGTCGCTCCTGCGTCATAGTTTGATGTTGAGTCAACAATCAAGCAAAGACGGGCTGCACTCGCCAGAGCCAAATGTCCAAGATGGCGCCCCTTGATCTACCTAGGTATGCTCTCGTTTCTCTTCCAATCTCTCTCAGCAACACCACACACCATCTTCATTGATATCCTGTATCCTGTAAATCGAGTTCCTGCGCAACGAATCCCTGCCAGTCGACACCCGACTGCCCTCTCGACCTTCTTTTCTCACAAATTGTCTTCTTTCTGGGGGCTACACGCTGCATTATCTTTAGGACCTATAATAAACCCTTCTTTATTCTACTTCCATCTTCAGTTTTGGCCTTCAGCTCAATCTTCAAGACGAGCACGGATAGTTGATATACTGGCTGGAGTTCGGTCTTTCGACAAACAAGCTTCGAGATTGGGTGCTCGAACAAAACCTCCTTTACTTTTACCTATCTTCGAGGACACCGGGTCCGCCTCTTCTCATCCAAGGACTTCAAAAGCTAGCGAATTCTGCTATTAAGCAGCGAGTCGGACCAGAAGACATGGTCCGCTCGCCTACTCCACGGATCTCTCTTCACATGAGACTCTTGCCCATTGTGGTTTTCGTCGGCGGGCATCTATTGGAAAGCTTAGCAGCAAAAGAACAGTTTGTCTTTCGCCATGGGTGGCAACAAGACTTCATTCGCTTCGCCCCTCCGTCAACTTCACTGGCTAGCCGTGGCCCACCGCAGGAAGGAAGTGGCCAGATACCTTTGAAGATTTCCAACAACTGTGAAGCAACAATCTGGCCGGGCATTGCAACTCAGTCGGGCACGGGCCCTGGTACGGGCGGTTTTGAGCTTCCCTCCAGAACCACCACTGACCTCTGGGTGTCTCCTGACTGGCAGGGCCGTGTATGGGGTCGCACGAACTGCACAGTCAATGGAGATTCTTGCGCATGTGAAACGGGGGATTGCTTCAACAAGCTAGATTGTGAATTCAGTGTAAGTGAAGCTCTGAAGAACCCACTAGGATTTTGTCAACCGTTACTGAGATTGGATCAGGGTGCCACGCCAGCGACACTGGCCGAGTTTAACCTGGCCGGTGGATTAAACGGCATGCAGACCTTCTACGATATTTCACTTGTAGATGGATACAACATACCCATGGCCATAACCTACATCCCAGCAAAGAACACGACCTTCATCCCCCCAAACCTGACCAATGTTGCATGCATTGCTACCGCTGGCTGGCTCCATACCCAGAATGAGACCGGGACATACTACTCAAACGCTACCTACCCGATTCCTCTAGAGTCCTCTGAAACCAACAATAGTATTCGCAACTGGTGTCCTTGGGCGTTGTTGGTATTCCCTCCGATGAAACCTAGAGACGATGTATATCACTATCCGGACGACGCTCTTGAACGCCCCGAGTTCTCGCCCTGCCACAGTGCTTGTGCTGCATCGGGCCGGGACCAAGATTGTTGTATTGGCCGATATCACGACCCGAAGATCTGTAAACCATCCTCGTACAGCAAAGCTGTAAAGGCGATATGTCCCGACGCGTATAGCTTTGCCTTCGACGATCAGCAATCTACATTCATTGTTCCGAAAGGGGGCGGATGGGAGGTAATTATGTGCCCTGAAGGCCGATCGACTAACATTCTACGCCAACTTGGGAATGAAATGTTTGAGCTCGCGAGTGCCGGTAGCCTTTCACAAATGACGGTCTCCAAGCTTCGAAATGCCACTTATATCAACAGTGACAAGAGTGCTGCGACCAGGCTACAGCTCCCTCCGCTTGGTATCCCTTTGGCCACGACCCTAGTCTCGTGGTTACTGAATTGATAGAATCTCTGGATGATTTTAATCAGTTTGCTCCATGCCCCCGCTTGGGAAACACGGCATGTCGAGACTGCTGGGTCCGAGGGCTGATCGACGAGGCAGTAGCTGCTTCGTGGGAGAGTGAAGAAGACGCCGTGTTTATTTATTGTTACCTGCTCAAGACCTTTGATACCCTTACGGTTTGGATTAGAGACCGGATGCCATGCTTGCTTGAATATAATTTCTTGTGTACCTCTATCGCTATCACTTGCCCATGAAATACAATCAATCCACATGTCGTCTCATGTAGAAATCTACCACAAACGCCTTTTTTCGACCAGACATATACATTCTAGTAACCGCGTTTCTCTTTCCTTCTACGCTCGAATTCTATCCGTTCTTCTTCGTCACTGCCACTGAACTCGGCATCATCGTCACTCTCTTCGGGCTGGACGGGGGCAGCAGCCCCCTTCTTCTTGGCCTTGGGCTTATCGTCCTCTACATTCACGTAGTCGCCGGCGTTCAAAGAGGCGAACTCATGCGTGCGGATGACGTCCTTGAGCTCGTTGTTGGTGGGGTCGACGAGCTGGACGGCGGTGAGCCCGCCCTTGTTCTTGACCCTGGGATTCGAGCCGGCCTCGAGCATCATCTCGACAAGGGCCTTGCCGAAGGCGCGCTGGGCGGGGGGCTCAGAGTTGATCCAGCGGATGGCGGAGTGGAGGGGCGTGTCGCCCTCGGTGCGGGTGACGGGGTCGCATTCGAATTCGGGCTGGTCGAGGAGGAGGTCTATGATTTCGTCTGGAGGGGGAGAGAGAGAGAGGTCCGGTCAGCAAAAACCTAGCAGGGGAATTTGGCGGATAGGGGGGGAGGGTTGGTGGTTGTTCAAGAAGAGAGACGCACAGTTGCCGCGGAGCGCGGCCTCGTGGTAGAGGTGGTTGCCCAGGACGGTGGTTGTCTCGTTGAGGAGGCGGGTGATCTCGGCGTCGGGTCTGCCCTCTAGGAGCTCCTCGAGGAGCTCTGTGTTGTTGCCGCGGCACGCGGCGACGAGCTGCTCCTGGACGGAGGCGCCCTGTGAGAAAGGGAGTCAGCGGTTGGGCGGTTTGGAAGAGGTGTGCGAGTCCGTTTGGGCTTGTGGGAGCTGTTGGGGGACGGGTCGTTAGGGTGAACTTACATCGTGCTCCTCACCACCCATGCTGGCTCGCTTGTAGTAGGTTCGTTCGTAGAGTCGGGACGCGTTGTGGGAGATGGGATAGGGGAGGCGAAGTTGTACACGAACTATGCGACTCCTTTGGCGGTTTCAGTGCTGAGAGCGAATGTAGGAGCTTGTTAGTGATTACCTGACCTGCTCGCCTGCGCCTGGATGGCCTGGGCTGTCTCAGGCGGGGTTGTGGCTCTGGGCGGATGGAGGGGTAAAGGCGCCTGCAGGCCCAACGACCTGCCTAGCGAGTAGCGGTCTCTGGGCATCCACCGCTGTAAAACGTTCGCTGTCAGACTACCCGAGTTGGTCCTCCTGGTCCGTAACACGAATGGGATCTCAGGGGCCAAACAGAAAACAATACGTGTATTATCCATGAGCTGGCTGCGCAATTGGGACATTAGAGGCTCCCGCACTGTCCTGGGGCCAGACAAGTTCAGCCTGCCGTGCGCTAGACAGTGTGTGGTGGATTACCTAGATTGAAGCTGCCAAGGCTGCGATTTCAATGTGGGTCTAAATGTCTAGGTGCCCGCTCTTTTTCTGCATCATTCTCTCGAGCTCAGTTGTTGAAGATCTGCCCATCACTGCGAACTTGGCAAGGAAACAAACCACATTCGAACCAACCCAATACGACTTGATTCTTCCAAAGACGCTAGCATACTAATAAGAAGTCGGATTTCATATCTACGGCCCATCATGTTGCTATGTGAGGCCAGCCCGCGAACTATGACTCTGACTCAATCTAACCAGTATCCTTCAGTCTGCCCTCATTGCGCCAACATTCTAACCGTCTCCCGCACGAACCAAGGCACGAACCGACTCGAATGCCGAACATGCCCGTTCGAGCATAGCATCACCGACCCTGTCTTCTCCCGTCGCGCGTACGAGCGCAAGGAGCGGGAAGACGTCTTTGGCGGGCCCGGCGCCTGGGATAACGCTCAGAAGGCCAAGGTTGCATGTTCCAGCGAGAGCTGCAACGGCGACGAGGCAGCCTTTTACCAGGTGCAGATCCGATCTGCCGATGAACCGATGACGAGCTTCTTCAAGTGCATGACCTGCGGCACCAGATGGCGAGAAAACTAAGGCAGGGTTTGGTGGCGAGATGGGGAGATGTTCCATCCCTAGAGTCCGGCAGTCGAGGTTTTCCAGGCGCAAAAACAGGGAAGTTTGGTGTTTGGGCGTATTTATGCGGCACATTGGGAGTTTATTGTAGATAGCATTAGGTGAGGCGTTGTCGATATTGGACCTCGAGCGTTTGATAAAACAATATACATGACGTCTTTATCTCCCATGATTGGGTAGAATGTGGTTTGCGGGTATGTTGATACAATGTGAAAGCTACGAATCAGCGCTCAAAGCCAGCTTCGTCGTGATCATGTCTCGCGGTGCCAGTCAACCGCGGCTTTCATCCCAGCCTCGGTAAGCTGGTGCGTGAGTTCTGGGCTGATGATGTTTTGTCGGAAGGTCTCCTGCTGGAGGAGCTCGAGATGGCGAAGCGTTGGCCCTGGATACGTAAGATACTTGACGTATGGCGGACGCGACCAGTATCGGAGGTAGGCGAGGTAGGCGACAAAAGCTGGCTGGGCGAGGAGCTGCTGGGAGGCGAGATGGTTGAGATAGAAAGGGTTCGCGAGCGATTGAACAAACTGCCAGTTGGGTTAGGAGAATGCCTTACACATTGCCAAAGTGCTAAGCTGTAGGAAATGGCGCCGCGAAATTTGGAGGCACTGGCAACATACCTCAAGCTCAATTTCAAACCTCGAGAAACCGCCGTACATCGGTTCGCTGATTCCTTCCTCTGAGGGCGGCTCGGGAGGCACAGAAGAGTTGATTTGCATATCCTGAGCTGGTGTTGACTCCATAGCTGTTGGCTGGCAGATTGGTGCTGGCTCGAGTTGTGATACCTGGATTGGTGGATGGTTGTGAGAAGAGGTCTAGGAGCAGTTGCAGGCTGCTGTGGTGGTTAGTTTGGTCGCATGGACCTCATTATGGAGCTGGAGGGTTGGACACTAACGGCACTGGCTTCACCCCACTAGAAGTGCCTGTGGACACTGAGCACCTCTTCGAACAGAAAGTCCTCGGCACGCCAACCTGAAATATCCAAGGTGTTGGTAAGTTATTTATAAATGATAGAAACAAGGATGCGGAATGTAACCCTGTTCTGATATTTATCAAACTGTGCTGATTCTTGCCATCTACACAGTCTCTTGCTTTTTCTGTTGCAGGCTCGGACTGGGAGCCCACTGGTTGATGGCCCTGGGCACGCACTTCCGTCGCGGCAAGCTTCCAGCCCTTCTGCTAAATAAGTGAGGCACTATTGAGTAAGGCACGGCCCATGGGTTCCTGAATACTTAGGGCCCTCTTGAAAAACCAGGCAACTGTTCTCAAGGCGAGCGCGATAGGCCAAGTTTCGTCCCCTGGTTGTGGTTCGGTGGCTCGCTACCTAGCCGCAGGCAAACAGATAGCTGCCTAACAACTGTCAAAGAATATTTTAATCCTCGCTTTTCCTAGAAACATTCATTCTTGGTTCACCTAGTGAAAATTCATGTGTCGATTGTCAAACTTTATTTATTTATTTACAAGATCGTTCCTCTTGCTGCGCGCTGATAGATACCCGTGCCGATACTGGCGTTGTCGATTCACTGGTTCTCTAGACCCCACACCCGCCAGCATCCGATTGATTGATCTTCATCAATATCAAGGAAAGAACACACGCAGAGAGGAAGCATAGCCTGTGATATCTGGCTTAGATATCTTTAATTTCTTTGCAATCATTCGAGTCCGTCTGTCATACTCTTGATAAGATGACAGTCGACGCCAAAATCAAGACCCGAGTACTCATTATATCCGATACCCACGGCCAAGTGCCGTATACTAGAGCCGATGGCAGCCCGGACACTGAAGATGAGCTCGGAAGCGACGAGCTAGATCGTGTCCCAACAGGCTTTCGCGACCCGCTACCCAAGGCAGATGTGGTCCTGCATTGCGGCGATCTCACCATGAACAGCGCGCCGGAGGAGTACCGAAAGACCTTCTCCATGTTGCGGAAGTTACAGGCTCCCATAAAGCTGGTCATTGCCGGGAACCACGATAGGGCTTTGGATTGGTCTTTCTGGGAGCAGCAACGGCTGTTTCGTCCCGAGCGCTTGCCATGGGCCGACGAGGCCAAGAGCATCATTGAGGAAGCGAGGGCAGACGGCGTTATTTACCTGGACGAGGGTGTCCACACTTTTGATCTGGAGAATGGCGCCAGGCTCAGAGTCTACGCCAGTCCTTGGACTCCCCAGTATGGAAGCTGGGGATTTCAATATCAGAATGGTCATGATTTTGACATCCCTTCAGATGTCGATGTTGCGATGACCCACGGCCCGCCATACCAGATTCTGGACCTTGCTGGGTTCGACTTGACGAACGCAGGCTGCCCGGATCTGCTAAACTCAATCTACAAGGCGAAACCCCAGATCCACTGCTTCGGACATATTCATGAGGCATGGGGAGGATATCTGGCAAAGTGGAAAGAGCAAGATGGGCCAGATGCGATTCCGAAACATATCATCGATGATGAGAGCTCGGTCCTCATCAAAAAGCGCAAGGACCTTTCGCTGCCGTTCAGAATATCAAGAATTGAGGATTTTGGGGCAAATTTGGAGAAGCGAAAAGCTCTTGTGGAAATCAGTCGGCGTCGAGGTGTGCATGTTGACCTCACAGAGGGAGAGACTCGCCTTCAGCAGGGAGAGGGGACGCTGTTCCTGAATGCTGCCATCATGAGCATCCGGTACCGGCCCATCAATCCGCCTTGGCTGGTCGATTTGAACCTCCCTGCCACAGAACAAACGTGAACGTCATCCCAGGAGACGTAGGGTACAAATCCTAAATAATTCAACTGAGTGTTGCTATTGTCAAAGTCACGTTGGATACCTCTGTTCAAATGATGGCTAGAAATCGGCAGTCTGTCTTATTTTAGGCACACCGCACAGGATAAGTGCGGTAGGTGGACAGGGAAGCTGGGTAGCTAGATTGTATAGGAAAGGTACATAGAGAGGACGGACACGGAATTTAGATTATTGTGACCATTGATTGCCACCAACATATTGTGATTATTGTTGACCATTAATTAATAACCTAAGCTACATTACAACAGCATGGGGCTGATATCGTTGCCGATTGCCCTATCGTAAACTTTTCATTATCTTTACTTGCGTTTCTTAGTTGGAAAGCGCGTTCCATTGACAATGGTTTGGGCTTCTCCCGGCGAAGCGAAAGCTGTCCCAGTGTTAACCCAATCTCATACGGAACATTCCCATTCGTTCACTGATAACCCTTTACAGAGCAAGGAAGGCAGCGAACATGGCGAGACCGGCTCCGACGACAGGTCGGCCGGCATCGCCAGTGCCAGTCGCGGAGGCGGAGGCGCTGGCAGCCGAGCTGGAAGCCGAACTGGCAGACCTGGAAGCGGAAGAACCAGTCGTGGAGCTCGCCTCGCCGGACGAGGTGGAAGCGGTTCCGGTAGCAGAGGCAGCAGAGCCGGTCGGGGTCGAGGATCCAGATGAGGAGCCAGTTGACCCGGAGGCGGAGCCGGTGGTGGTGCCAGAAGCAGAGGCAGAAGCAGAGCCGGAGGAAGAGCCGGAGGCAGAGATGCTGCCGGAGACGGAAGCGTTGGGGCAGAGGGTGGTGAGAAGTGACTGGGCAGACTTGAGCTCGTCGGCGCTACAGTTCTTGGCGAAGCAGTCGGCTCCATTGGCCATGATGGTGTTGATGTTCTTGCAGATACATGTGATATCGATACCCTGGCAGTCGGTGCCGCTCAAGGACTGGGCCAAGCATGTGGTCTGTGTTGCCAATGGTTAGTTTCCATACCGCCAGTGGTAATTGCTTTAGATACTTACAACGCAGGTGGGGATGTTTTGGGCGGCGGCGAGGCCGGCGGCAGCAAGGAGGACGATGGAAGCCTTCATGTTGATGGTTGTTGGTATCAAGGGAGCTTGAATTCGGGCAAGTGATGTGGTATCTAGGCAAGAGAAGCAATGTTGAGCAGGATGGTACGTAAGGGCGAGGGGAACGAGGTGAGGGGGGACAAGCCACCGTCTTTATTTACTTTCAGCTACCAACATTAGTCTTTCTCCAGTAAGTGCAAAGCTAGAATATGCACGGTAGAATACAACGACGGCGGTTGAAACCTGACCAATTGACGTGGAGCGGTTCCTAGACCCCCGGGATGATTATCCTTGACCACGCAGGTCCCCATCAGACCTGCAGCCTGACTACAACCCCCAGGCGCAGGGCCGGCGCTGGGCTGATTTGCAACATACGACAGGTGTGACAGCTGAAATTGAGCTCGGCAAGGTCTTATCCGGGGCAGCTTTTCTTGTTTAGTATCGAGCTGACCATCCTAAGACAGGTGGCTGAACGTCGGCGTCCACTAGACGCAGCCACGGGCCATGTCCCCTCGGTGACATGTAGCTTTCTGCCCGAATGAGCATGTAAGACCTGGCGAAAGGAGGGCAGCTAGGCAAGTTTGTGGGCCCTGTTTCTGGCTTGGACGAATCCGAGAAACATACGCCGAATAAGGATGTCTCAATGACCACCCACCCTTGTACGTGTGTCTCCTCGTCCATTGGGAAGCATTATTACGTACGGCATACCACCAGAGCTTCCCTCCTATCCAGCTTGTCGCAGGTGGGCATCGACAGCTTCTTCAGAGTCACGTCCGCAGATGTGATACCCACGGCAGGGGTGTTGTATTCCAAGTTCGCAGTCACAGGGCCCGGGGGTCTGGAAGAAGCTGCCGAATTAAGTAATATCCAAAAAACCGGCTGTCGGCTTGCCTAGTAGGATCACTCTTCTTTAGAAGCAACAATAATTAGCAATTAGACAGGAAACCTGGGAGTTGCCTTGCCTGCCTACATCCAAGCTTAGACTTGGTTGCCAGGGGTATGTGTCATGCTCCGCTCCCATGAACCACTTGAATTCCTCAAATGCTTGTTTCCCCAGCTCGGAAATTCGAGCTAACCTGTCATAGCTATCGCAGTGGGCCGAGACTCTGGTCCGGTGCCTGGGGATGCGCCATGTTTGATTGACAAGGTGATTTACCACATCCTGACATACACGGCAGGTTGCCCAGCGGCATGCTCAGTCAGTCTGGGTTTCGTGGGAGTTTGTCCTCGTACTGTGTACCCAGTGGGGCAATGCCCTTGGCTACTGCTTGTTCTCTGGCCAAGTGAGCTTGCTTGAAGTCAACAGAGTTATTAGTTTTGAATATCCCAGAATTCATCTCCAAGTGAGGGCTGCTAGATGAATCGATGCTTTGCGAAAGGCAGTGGCCACATTGGGGCGATGTTGGTAAGATGATCACAATAGAAAGAGCAGCTCTCGATGGTCGATTCCCTATCCTAACAAATTAGATGTAAAACACTGCTTCCACTCCGGGCAACCGAGAAGACAACAGTCAACAACTGCGAGGCAGAATGGATACCTGGACACAACAGTCCTAGGTGTGAGATGCTAACGTCACTGTTGTGTGAGCTTGGATGAAGGAACGCAAACCTGCACATGGGCGAACTGCTCGAATCTCAGCCAATTGGTTGGGGGATGGTCGAGAAATAGTGACGTGAGGGGAAACCTGCTCCGCCTCCTCTTTCCTGATTACTATTATGTATGTTACGGTACCGCATCTACACTCCTATCGTCCCATCGTTGCCTGCTCATAATGATCGGTCGAGCAGGGTCCCAAGGACCTCGAATCTCATTCTTGTACTTCTGCAACCCAATTAGCCACCAGCTACAGCCTCCAGTGGCCAGAGTAGCGATGATGATGCTAACAATCATCCCTATGATGCCGCGCTTCCACGGCCAAGGCTCATCCTTTGGCAACTTCCCCGACACCAGCCCCACGCCTAGACCAGCACCGAGAACGAGGACAACGGTCATACAGACATGATGTTGAAAGCTTCGATGTTTAACGTGACGTCGGAAGACGGGGAAAAGGCCAAAGACTTCGATGCTGAACAAGGTTAGGCTAAACACCTGCCGTGTATCTGGAAGACGGCTTGCCAGGACAGTAGATGCCATCAAGGCGGCATTGGTAGATAGTGAGGCCGGAAATTTGGTGCTCACCCCGCCCGAATAATCGAAAGAGAATATGTTGACGAATAGAAGCCAGAAAGACATGGCCCATATGCTATCGAGAGAGGTGGACTGGGTGAGTGATTTGAGTATAGGGCTGAGCCCAAGGAGGGTGCAATAGATCAGAACAGCTGATTTGATGGTGCCCAGGCGTTCGTGCGTCCGGTTTACATCTTTTATGATAAAAGGAGGGGTCTCTGTCTTGAGACTTTCGTGGCTGGGCCTGGATACTAGGGATGGGGCTGCCGTGGACGATCTTGGGGACAGCTGGGGGGGTTTGGAACCTGTAAATAGGTTCGTCGCTGAACTGGTGGCAGATCCTTCGTATGATGGAGGCTTAGATGGCGGCGCCGAGGGAGTGGCAACAGACAGGCGCGCCTCTGTCCGGAGCGGTGTCGGGCGACGTATGCTCGCAGCTCTAGTACGGCGTCTGCTGAGGCTCCCGCTCCTCCCAACCAATGTCGAGACACTCGTATTAAGCTCTTCGACCTGATCCTCCTCAGTTACCCATCGCTCCCACATCAGCCATCCCACAAATGTCCCGGCGCTGCTCCAGCTGACGACTGAGACGGGAGAGACTCGCTCGCGATGGATGCACGCAAAACAGACGACGAATATGATGACAGAGCAGACATGCTGTAGTATCACTGTAGAATCTGCCACCAGGGGCCAGAAGTCGTAGGGCTTGAGTCGGGGATTTCGTTGTAGGTTCTCGAGAAATGTCGCCTGGTCAGTGTAGTTATCCGGATCTAGAGGTCCATTTGATTAGCCTCAGCGCTCTCCTCCACAAGCCTGCAGGTCTTCTCGGAGGACGAACATGACTGCTTCACCCACATGAGTTTCTTCCAAGCCCGCTTCCGCCTGCGACTGCCGCCTCGATCGTTGACGCGCCTCAGACGTGAGTGAGTCGATTCAGCTGCACTGTCGCCGCCGTAGCCACGCGATAGAGGGGGCACGAAGGCATCGTCAGGGGACAGGAGGCTGCTGAAGGTTGGCTGGTGGTCTAGTGTCGGGAAAGGGGTCTCGCTCTCGTCATCATCGGTCGGCGACAGCATCGTATACGTGTGTGTCCAGATAGCATGTGGTCATAGCCGTGACGGCAGCCAATGCGGATGGATAGGTGTCGTTTGAGATGTTGAGGCGGTAGCCATTGCAAGGATTAATTGCCAATGCGGCTGCTCTACCCACTTCGCCAGCTGCACTTGGCAGGCGCATTAGGCCGAGGTAGATCAGTGCAGCTAGAAGAGAAGCATTGAATTGACCCCTCATCGGCGTTGCTGCCACCGCAACTTTGCCTGCTTTGAATGCCTCAATTCTGTTCCAATTCTCCTGCTCTGATTGTGTTGGATTGATTGTTATCATCTTCTGACGCCCCTTCTTCTACTGCACTTTCAGAGGACCCGAATTGTTGACATCGAGCTCGTTATCTCAAAACACCCACCCCAGTACACCAGATACCACCTGTACCTGCCCACTGTCCAACACCGCCTAGGTAGCTCTACAGTGCTTTCTGTCTGCGACAAACGTGCCTTCCATCTTGCCCGCCCGCCTCTTTTCTTCTACAAAAGAAACAAAGCTGGCTATAGAGAAAAGCTTGACAATATGGCGACATACGAAACAGCCTTGGATCAGCACGTCACTGTGGGAGATCAAACATTTGCCTACCGGCTTTTTGGCAACGCCGGCCAGGGCGTCACTCTAGCACTGCTACATGGTTTCCGGTATTTGCTGACCTCCCTACCTACGAGACACAACCCAGGAAATGTATGACTGTGGAGCAATGCCAACATGGCACTAACGGTGCTGCTATCATAGGGGAACAATGGATCATTGGGATCCTAAACTTATAAACGATTTTGCAGCGACCCGTCGGGTTCTGCTTATTGAGAACGTGGGTGTCGGCAGATCAAGCGGCGAGGTTCCCAAATCACTGCCGGCGTGGGCGCAGCACTACATCGACGTCTTCTTGGCGCTACGCCTACGCCAAGTTGATATTCTGGGGTATTCGATGGGCGGGTGTGTCGCTCAGCTTGTCGCCATCAATGCTCCGGCTGGCTTAATTCGACGCATTGTCCTGTGTGGTACAACTCCCAGTTCTGGGGATGGCGTTGTCAGGGCGCCGCTGGGGCCGTTCAACCAGATCAAAGCAGCGCAAACCGAGAGCGAACACAAGGATGCCTTCTTGTCCAGCTTCTTCACATCCTCAAAAGCTAGCCAAGCTGCAGGATTAGCGTCTTGGAATCGGATGGTGAGTTCGCGCCCAGACCGAATCGATCATGTCCCCGCCGAGGCTGCACATCGACAGGCTGTCGCCTTTGCCAAGTTCATGGATCCCAAGCAGGCATCTGAAGGGTCTTATGACCGATTTCGCCAGATTCGACAACCCGTGTTGATTGCAAACGGTATAGTTTTTGCATGCGCATGCGCCCCCCCTACCACCCCCGGTTCCGACTGACGAATAATACAGGCAGTAATGATCTCTTATTACCAACAGAAAATAGCATCTTGATGTGGAATATGCTCAAGGATGAGGGTGCGCAGCTCCATCTTTACCCAGATTCCGGGCATGCCTTCCTATACCAGTACGCGGCGCAATTCGCGAGAACGGTCAACGATTTCTTGGATGAGCCGGCTCCTACGGCTAGTAAACTTTAATGACCAGCGCACTGGGTCTAGTACGTTGGAATTCAGCTGGATCTTCAAACGACTTGATGCCTGCATCTGTCTGTCTACCAAAGTGCTCTAGTGGACCATGAGTAATCGGACGTTGCTATATTTTTGGAATGGGAGGCCGAGTCATTTGACTACTGGCCCGTGCCAATGGATTCTGCTC